CCTTTACTTTCATATCATCTGTCAGAGTTGATCGTATTTCTCAGTGTCTTTTCTGAACTGCCTAGTCACTCCAGAAGCTACTTCACATCACTGTAGGAAAGCTCACTCGAATGAGGACGAAAAGACGAAGTGAACTCGAATCCTAGTTCAGTTCTAGAAACAGACCCGTGAAACGGAAATCTTGAGGAACACCGACTGAAAGGTTACAAACAAAACACATTCTGACGTAAACTGCTCAAGAAGGAGAGGCAGTGGCGATCACATGCACCAGAGTGGCTAATATCTCGTCTAAATACCGCGTGAATTTAACGTTCAGAGCAAAGATCATCGCATCATCAGATGTACTGATTGTCCTCTTCGCAATATAAGCAAGGATTCCTTTTACGACGTAACGATAATGATCCAAGAAACAGGAGCAGCGATAAGACTGTGAAGGTCGTACCTCGTATTTGGCCAACACCACGGCGAAACGTATACTGTTCAACCGATTTCTTCTTTGGCCAACAAACCGAAGACGTTGTCACGCTGCAAGCAAGTCTACCTGTTGAATGGCTTTCTACTTACGTTGCGTAGAAATATGCATTTCGCGAATACTCAGAAATGCCTTAAAATGCTGAGATTCGGCAAACTTTCGCGAAAGTCGCTAATTTACACTTGAGTCGAATTTCCACATGGCAAACAAGGTATTCTGGCAGACTATCCACCGACTCCAAGGTCAAAAAAGGGACAGCGTAAGAGTCTTGAAGGACAGGTGTGGAGATCCTCTTACCGAAGATAAGGACATTCTTCGAGGACCCCGAGCAACTGCAGGAAGACTAGTCTGAAGAACAGCAGGTGAAAGTTATTAGTCCTTCAGTAGACGAATTCATAGAAGTTGTAAAAAGCTTGAAAACTAACAAAGCTGCTGGAATCGAAGAAATCGGCCCTGAGACGTTCTGAACAATGCTTGTTGTGGCTAACGCATGCCTGTCAATCTTTAATGTAGAAAAGAGCGGTTAACTAGAAATTTGCTGAGGTAGTACCACAGTTCAAGAAGGGAGATCATAAGGGCTGCTTCAACTGTTGGGTCATTTACCATTGGGAGTATTCCTGGATAAGTCTATGTAAACGCGTTGGACAGGAGGTTCCGTGGAACAGTTGACTCTAAGATCGAAAAACAGCGATGTAGCCAGGTCAGTCAGATGCGCCTATGACCAGATGATCACCTTACGCCAGATTATTAAGAAATCGAGGGCGATCGCCAATCTGGTTTAAACATGCTTTGTTGACATGGAGAAAGTGATCGGATCCTGCGCCAGAAACTGTGAGCGTACCAGCAAACACATTGGGCTGGTGGTCAGTTACTACGAGACTTACAGTAGCTACATGTTGATTGCAAGTGCTGCGTCAGAGCACATGGCGTTCAGACATTCAGACGTTCAAACACTTCAGCATTGGCACCGGTCGTCGGTGAAGCTGCGTTCTCTACTCTATTCTGATTGTGTTGTACCTGGAGATAGTCAGGCACATCCAGGGCGATGAGTGTGTCAGTATCGAAGATGTCGAGACGAGAAGGTTGCTGTTTGCAGACGATGTTGCATTGTTAGCATCTTCTGAAACTGATCTTCAGTGCTCCTTAGAAAGGTTCACAGCCGAGTGCGACGTGACCGGCA